TTTTTTTATCAGGATGTGATGATTTAACTACAATCAGCATGCAGTATAATAGCAGACCGTGTGGTTACAATATCTAATCATTGCAGCTAAACTAATCCATCTGTTCCCAAAGCAACAGAGGTTTTGCTGTGTGTCGTTTGACTGACTTCCAAACAATCTTTGTTGACACTTGCTCTCTTACCTTCCGCCGCGCCCGCCAAACCAAGTTGCCTACAAGCCACGGTTGCTTCATTTATACCCCAACCTTCAGAACACACCATCCCCCACGTCTTGCTCTTGTCGTTATAGATCTGTAGAACTCCTTGTCCGTATTCATTGCCGTCTACCAGGTTGACTGGAGCTTTTTAAAGAGAACACCATTGCTTCAGATATATATTTTTCACATATCTTAGAATGATATACATGTGTGACAATACACAGTTCCTGAAACATATCAATGAACTCTTCTTTTGCATGATGTTTTCTTTTTATGAATATGGCATTAAATTGAACATGTTTGAAATGCTTTTTAATTGAATAAAATCGGAATTACTCTGTATGGTTTACGTAAAAGTGTATATATATATATATATATATATATATATATATATATATATATATATATATATATATATATATATATATATATCATAAAAACTATGTAGCTCAGATTTGTTTGAATACTTGAACACACACAAGCTCCCGCACGGAAACACACACACACACACACACACAAATGAAGCGACTCTGCTTTCCTATTATAAAAATAATATCAACATTAATGAGAATGTCTGTTTCATCCCCTCACCTGTGCAGGTGACCTCGTGACAAGGTGCGTGTTCGATCAAGGGACCCATGCAGTAGCGGTCTTTGCCCGGTGTACCACGGTTAGCGCAACTGCGATGTCGTGTTTTGATACCTGGGCCACAGGTGTCGTGTGTTGAACATGGGCTCCATGTCGACCACGAGTCCCATTCTAAACAAACGGATAAATGCATTTTAACTAATTAATAATATATTATTATTGACATTCAGCCAGATCCTGACCATCTTTACAAAATGCACATTTAAGAACTGAAAATCAAAATGCGGACCTAAAATTTAAAAAGAAGCATTGCTCTGGCAAAGAATGGTCTACAATTTTTGTTGTTCATTGACATAAGTCAAACTTGAGCCGCATTAACTTATTTTCATTATACATAGGAAAACTGATCCTTCCTTTAAAATTGCTCCAAAGTGGCGGTATATTGTCTAAATAGTGTACGAAGTACACGAGGCAAGTAAGAAGGAGGCGAATAAAAAAGTAAAACATCGACTACAAGTAAACCAAAACCTTATCAATGGATCAATCAATCTCAAGAGTAACGAATTCTATAGCAAAACCACCAGAGTAAGCGGCCTGTACCACCCTACTCCACTTCCATTTCGTCACATTCAATTCCCAAAATCCCAAGTGTAAAATTAATAAAAGGGAGGCGCTTGCTTCAAACTAGTATCACGCTTGTATTAATTCCCAGTGGTTTAAGTTAGACAGACTCATCTTTGCTGGAAGCAGGGCGTAACTCCAAAAGGGGTTGCAGGCGGATAGCATAGGCTATCAAGAGACCTATAGATACCGTAAATCTTTGGGCCAAGCTAAGACCCCATTCCCATAGATTTAAGATCGATCTATCCCTTAGGGGAGTCTCACTAGATTACTGTCAGCTTAGCCGGCTTAAGCGTCTGTCCCGCCTACTAAAAGATGTAAGGGGGTAATTAACTATGGTGCGCGCTCGACTGACTGCAATTTAGCGTGAACCCCCAGGGAGTTAGGTCGATCTAAATCTAAATCTCTGGATCGATCTAAATCTCTGGGAATGCACTCTAAGACTGCTAAAATCAGATAGCCGACAACGTACAGTCAAAAGTCAACTATGTGATTTTGGTAGGCTAAGTATTTGCTCGTTGGGCTTTCTTCTTACACTAAAAACAAAAAGTTAACAGCCTTTATGAAACGCAATTAAGTAAAAAAATTGAACATTGATAGTTAGGCTAAAAAAAACTTTCTTTGTGAAACAGACCAATGCTTAATCAAGCAATTAAATCATTGTTTAACTCCGTCTTTCTGATTGTAGGAATCCATCCGGGCTGAATTAAAACCGAATTTAACTTAGCATTTAGAGACTAATCTTACCGGGACATGGAAGGAGTGTGCACGTTTCACTTTCGACTTCTGCTCCATAACAATCTAGGGGACTTCTATCCTCTAAGGTCGCCTTGTTGACGCAGCTGCGCCTGCGCTGTTTCCATCCTGTGCCGCAGGTGACAGAGCAGCTTTCCCAGGCCTGCCACTCCGACCAGTCGATGTCATCCGCTGGAAAACATTGAAATACTCGTAGATGGTAAAAACGGGAATATGGAACATTCAAGTAGTCCTGTTTTTCCATTTAGAGTAACTGTTGTGTTTGTGTCTGAATTCCCTTTGTTCAACAAATAAAGGATATATTATAAAACGAACGCATGTCGATAGAACACAAGAAGACATGAAAATAAAGCACTTGAAATTACAACACATATAAAACCCATGCCCCATACTTATAATCAAGACAACAAAATTAAAAAATGAATTAATCTATCATCCTCGTTATTAAAACTTAACTTATCATTTGACGTAAATCAGTTTGAACAATTGATTAAGAATTCCATCAGTCTTGAAACAGCTTTTTGGAAATTCATTCATAGCTTTCGGCAACTTCATAGGTCTTCTTTGACGAAGGTAATTGAAAAACACCCCAAGATAAGATTATCTTTTCATAAATAACTTATCACATTTTAAACGGATCTCTGGCCTACCATTGGTATCACAATTAATCCCGGTCCAACCTTCAGGGCAGATACATATGTATGATGGTAGACCCTGCTGTGTCTTGATGTCCAGACAGTAGCCGTTGTTTTGGCAGGGGTACGTCATGCACAGCCCCAAAGCATCCTGGAAAGACATAACTAACGTTAAAATCATAAATGGAATAACATTACATCAGATGAAAGCTAGATGATATAGAAATATTGAAGATATCTTCAAATTCGGACACTGAAAAATCTATAAATTCACCAAAACAATAGTGAGAATGTTTAGTCCACCTATTTGGTCTGTTTTCAGGGCTTATGTACTTAGTCCATGGGCCAGTAGTCGAAAGCCTCCCCCTAAGGGATTTTCAACCACTAAGATTTTCAGATACATGTAGCTTAGGCCAATGTGCTTATTTACTGGGTAAAATGATAGAATATCCCAACAGAATACATGTATCTATTACATGTATATGTAGGGAATTTCAATAAGGTCAAACTATCCTACCCTCATTAGAGATTTTTATTCACTATATTTTTCGGATATCTTAGTCCCTAAGTTTTTATTTTCTGCTTGTTTGCAATAAAACTGGTGGTCTTTGTGATTGATATAGTCATTGTCAGGGGTTAAATTGAATTTTCTGAGAAAAGCAAATTGACACATATATCGAAGGTATAAACTTATATGTTAACGATATAACCCGTGAAGGGCACAATCTACCCACAGAATTTTTCTATGGGCCCATTCAGAATAGATGATCCGAGTACTAACTGATCCGCCGACTAAATATGGCCGACCGCACATCGAAAGAGAGGCCGCTGATTCCTAGTGGTCTCCCCGCCTCCACACGCGCCATTAAACGGATTAAATCTTGGCTCCGAGGTTTTATTTCCCGCAGGGACAGGGCGTGTGGAGGCGGGGAGACAATCGAGAATCATTGGCAACTCTTTTGAAGTGTGGTCCGCCATATTTAATTGGCGGATCAGTTAGTACTCGGATCATCTATTCTGAATGGGGCCTATGATAAAAGGTAACTGATTTCACCGTGTCGTTAATGAAAAGGAAGGAAAAGGCTTCACAAAGCAATTACTTTGTTTGATTGAACGTAACGATGTTTGGATATAACTTTCGGAAAGCAATAACAAAAATTACGCAAATGTCTTGTACAGATACCACGCAGTACCAATTGCCATAACCGTTATTATAATTATAAGATTATGATCTAACAACCGTGCATTAAACAGGTATTCCATTATATAATAAAACATTTATCAGTTTTTGCTTTCGGTCAAATTGATGTTTTTCAGACCTCAGGCAAAGTCTTTAATTGCATAATATCGACCCTTCGGTTGTCCAAGTAAAAAGGTAACTTGCAATTATCTCAAGAAGCAGAATAGTTTAGGATTATATTTTCGAAGATACGATCCATCATGGTCTGACCCGACACATCAATGTGCCAACAGACAGATGATCATCACAGAAAATAAACCAACAAAAATAATGAAATTTTGATAATTCGGAACATTTTGATGTAAGAAATGCACGATTGACCTAGGTCATGCTCTCTATATGCATATATAGGATGAATTAAAACGCACCAAAATTTAGTTTACAATATCCCAAATATTTTTCACTGTAATTGAATTATTTTTCATTTTACACTGCTTCATTGTATTGGTTCAAGTCCATAAAAGATTTGACTCAGAGCTGAAAAATGTGGGAGGCTACAAAACGTTAATGGCGGTATTGCGTTTTTTTGGAAGGTGGACTAGAGTTGTAACAAATGCTATTGAGTCAGTTTGTGCGGAGATTACCAAAGCATTTGCATCAAAATCTTTACAAATGTGCCAGAGACAATGCAATGAAATGAAATTACGTAGTATTTAGTGTAATTCCATTGCATTTCAGTGGATAATTCAAATTTGAAGTATGGAATGTTTTTGTTATCTACCGGCTATAAATGATTCAAAATCCAATACGTTTTACCACCACGCACAAATTACATTCTTATTTATAATTGATGAGGCCGAGTAGTATTCCCCACCTCCCTTACGTGCAATTATTGTCAGCACGCACATTTTAATACCAATCAATATGACAATCATCATGCTACGAGGAAATAAAGTTGTAGTGCCAAGATTACTTTTAATATTTGGACATTGAATACCATCACGCAAAGCCATAGCTCCTGGCACTTATAAAGACAAATAGGTTGTCTTTTTTTCATAAATGGGCCATTTAAACTTTGAGTAGTGGAATGAAGCTTTAGGCATAAAGGTCATGCTTTGTAAGGATCTTGAGAGCACAAACGGCCTGAAGTTGTACTAACAAGTTAAGTGAAATGTTGGGCCTAATATGCAAATATATTGAAATAAACTACTATGCAAAAATGATGTTTCTTTCGTTTTTTGTGCAAATTTTTCATCGATTCGCGAGTTTGCAGAAGAACGGTATTGGACCCACTGATTTCATTTGTCAAACATTTTTCTTGTAAAAGCAATAATGTTAAACCGCTACTGAAATATACCATCTGTAAAAGCAAGCGTAAATTTAAAAAATGGGGTCAGAACAACGGACACATGGAGATTTTTCCCAATGTAACAAAAGTACTTCTTTTGACTACTGATTGACTGATTGACTAGCAGATTGGAGATGGGAGAATATAGATACATGTTACCTGTAAATATACTAGAAGTTACAACTTCGACGCAAAGATTCAAAATGTTCTAATTCTTAACTATTTTATATTTCACAGAAGGATATTTTCTACATAAAGAATTTCTTTTTAAATGGAGGTAAAAAAACAGATAAGAAGAGTATCCTTTAGTAAAAGAAAACACTTTTTAAGGGAAGAAAAATAATTTCAAAAGACACTGTAGCCGGGTACCGATTTTTTTAGGTGGAGAAATATCCAGCAGTCTGTATTTGTAAATCTGAAGACTAATTTCAAAAGAAAGACTCGAAAGATTTTGTATTGATTAAAGAAAATTTGACTTCGTAAATCTACTCAACTAAAAATATCATTTCATATATTTTTCCCACTTTTGGTGTTTAGAAGATCGTGCACTGTACTGAAGCGGACACGTAACTCCGTAAACATGTTTGATAATGTTATGTAAGACGGTATTCTTCGGCATGTGTATTAATAATCGAATGTAAATTATCAAGAGATACGCCCTTTGTCTCCCAAAATCAATATCCAAAACGAACCGAACGAGTTCAGTATATAGAAAGCAGGTAGAATATATACATCCAGCAGATTTTTTTTGATTTTATTTCTTTTTCACTTTCCACTACACATACACCCACACACACACACACACACACACACACACAATAATGTATTTGCTAAGCGGGTAACGAAATAACATGTAAGATATGAGTATTTGTTGGTAGGCATTATTCGATTTAAACGGACATTTCATTCGTTTATTTTACTTTTCTTAAAACCATAACATCATTCACATAACACCATATACGTAATTCTTATCCTTTCTGAACCCAAATTTCAAAAGAAAGGCTTGAAAGCTTTTGTATTGATTAAAGAAAACTTGACTTCTGTAACTATATATTTAATATAACTATATAATGGATAACAAAATATGCTTTCCATTCACGGAGAAGAATCTCAAAAATACCAATAACTTGATTATTTTTCCTTTTTATCACGTTATTCCGTTCCACTTACCTTGTTGACGTGGTAAGAGTCTCTCACATAATACGTGAAAGCTTCGTTCTCCACCAAACTATTATAGTGTTCAACATGGGTCGCGTCGTTCAGCGTACAACTATGATTCTTCTGATTAAAGTTATACGAGCGGCAATTCACATGTTGCAGACACTCGAACGCGCACTGGGTTGGAAGATGAGTCGTCGAAATTTCTTTGAACACATGTCCAAGGAATAGTTTCCCGATTTTTTTCCCGCGAAATAACTTTTCTTCTTTTGGATTTCGTACGTTTGTGTCAACTGGGAGTGATATGTTAGACCACACCAATGTACCGTTGACATCTTCCCACGTCCCGTTAATGAAGGTTATGGTATCTTCGGCTTCTAGTGAAGCCAATTCGTCTTCTAATGAAGTGAAACCATTATCTGTCCCTTCAAGAGTAGAATTTGTTCCATTTGTCGTAGAGTTGTCAGAAATTGTTACGTTTATTACCGCCTCGGGAGGAACTGGAGGGGAGAAGTGCCATTGATATTCAACACCAGTGCAAACACCGCCAAAAACGGTGATCAATATCCCGAACTTAAATAGGAAGAAAACTGTATCGTAGAAAACAGCCCGCATTCTTTCACTGTAAACGTCTTCCTTCTCCGGGCCAACTCCACAATATTGTTTCGAAACTTACTGATTTAAGACTGAAGGGGGAGAAACACGATTCGAGGACTTAGCAAATAAGATCAGGAGAATTAGAGATTGCTTATTAAATTTTCATCGGTAATCACATTTTGGCGTTTCATCTGTGATTAACAGCGTCGGGAAGCCCCAAGAGACCACTTCACAGCATGGTTTTCACTTATTGCTTCATGATCGACACCGTCCGTAGTTTAATTAATTGGGATTTAATGTGACGGTGAGCTAGACTGATAGACGACTAATACGAAACTGACGATTACTTTTCATGACAACGTTTCGTTCAACGGAATTTACTGCTAAGAATTAGGCTGTTGTCATCTGTTATGTATAGGAATGTCAGTTAAATACATGGAGGGACACATTTTTATGACATACACGCCTGCACAGAGGGAGGACAGACAGATTGATAGAATAATTGATTGATAGTTTGGGTGGATAAAACGCGCTGAACTTTAAATTTTAATTTCTCACGAACTTTCCATTGGAACTGGACGGATTTTCACCTAATGCTTTTTTGCATGATATTAACTCATAGCTTCTTAACTGCCACACGCCTCTCAATACAAAACTGTAGCTCAAAAACGCAATACTGAAATAAAGCGTTTTGTAATCTTTTGGGTAATGGCTTTCTCCCAGACTAGCGCAGTCTCTTGACAGTCCAACAACACATTTTCAATCAGGATGGGGAAACTTTTCTTACTGCAAAGGCCATACAAGAACATTTTGAACTAGTTGTGGATTCATAAATATTCTTAATATTCAGATTTGCTGTAACCCGTTCCTCATTCAACGTCACAAGATGTGGGGCTATCTCGGCGAGAAAGTGGTCGATGATCAGAGCCTAAGTGAAGACGTATAAACTCACCAGAGGTTCAGGACATGTAATATGTATATATGTAATATATTAAACATTTATCTTTTACGCGTCAAATAAGGGATATCCTGAAAGTATGTTGCAGTCTTTTTAACAGTGCAGAGCTTTTTTTAAGTGCAAAATTCGTTTGGTTGCAAAATGCACCTGTCACGTGATCAGTTAAAAGAAAATGTTCCATCCCCTCTGTCCGTGTGAGCATACGACAGTCAAAACTTTTTGTTTTGTTTTGCTAGAACAATAACACAAACTGTGTTTGAGAATGCAGAATTTGGAAAAAGAAAAACGGATTCATCTATAAATGATTTATTTAACGTATATCTGCTTCGTTACTAATATACCGTACAATGAATGAAAATGACGAGTTCATAAAAATGTGAAATCATTATGCTATCTATATCCTAGTTCTCGAATACTGATCAACTTCTCACCAACATCAATGACGTGCAAGATATAAAACAAGTATCTTATCGCACTGTCTCCTCTAGCGCAATCCCTCAATATCAGTTTCAATCCGCATCAGCGATCCTTGAAAATCTTATAAATATTTCACTTCAAGTCAATCCACGTTTCTTATAAAACCCGCGTTTTTAGGCGATAAAGTCAAGTGGTCTGTTGAATCCACCCCTTCTGTTCATGTATTGCCTGAAATGCAAATAAAAACACAATAAGAGAACATTTAAATAAATGTTAAAAGTAGTTAAGGGAGACATATCACAACGTTTATATTTGAATACCCAAACTTTTATTTCATATTATGAAAAGTCTTACAGGTTGTTTTACTGGACACTTGCTGTGCATGCTGAAAAATTGCTTATGTTTTACAAGACAGTCATAAAATACATAAAAGAAGCTTACCTGTATCTTCGTTTTTGAAGAATGTTTGCAGCACCCTCTGCGTTACCGTCGACTTTTTTCCCCTTAAAATCAAATGTTACTTGTTTTGAACTGAATTCAATCCACATATAATTATGCTTATATATTAAAAAGTTAAAGACCACTAGATATCAGTTACCATGACTGGGTTTTCCTAGTCAATATCATTTAAAAGAATTGAAAAGCATGTAAATAAATCCTATATCTTAGCTAAAGAAATATGACTACTTGTTAGATGTAAATATTGGCTGGCCATAAAAACCTCCGATAACAACTAACAATTCTAAAAAAAAATCCTGTGGTTCTAACCCCCCCCCCCCCCCCCCAAGAATCAAATTGCACATGCATCCTAACTAAGCATTAAGGCATCTCCTGTAAACAATAAAATATGACTGTAATTCTAAACTGCATCACATGACACATTTGGACTTCTCTAGAAAAAATGAAACGGTCTTTTTTGCTTAAGTATTTGGCGAAAGAGGTAAAAGAACATACTTGCTTAAATGTGCCTTAATTCTCACTACCTTTCATATCAAGTCCAAAACATGCATTTTCATCAGAATGTTAATAGGTAAAATATACCCAACAAAAGTCATTAGGAGTACAGGACTTCACATGGGAATTCAAAATTGGTCAAAACAACCTAACTGTTTTTATAACTTACCTTGGTGGTTTCAAAACCTCCAAATCCCATTATCTTCATCATTTCAATTTCTTCTTCAGATTTTCCTTCTAGCTGAGATGCTAAAATGTAAAATAAAATGAAGCTAAAATAGTACAAGGCAAACCATCAAATTTAACCACCTGTCAGAGACCAAAAAGCTGTCAATCCGAATAATTAGAATAATATAATCTAACAACTCCTGCCATGACAATACTCAGAACTGCCACTCCCCTTAAAGGAGTAAATTTTAATTTTAAAACACTGAGACTGCAGGTAAGAAGAGTGGAAATACTTCCAGGCACATAATACTCCTGTCAACTGTAGTCGATATATACTGTAGCATAGAACTCCAAAACACATATTTGTGGGCATTGTCTAAAGCATGGCATGAACTCAATGGACATACGGTTCAAAGACTTGTAATCAGGTTTCATAAAAAAGTCTTGCACATGTCAACTAATAATAAAGTCATGATGTGAATGAATTGGCAAATAAACCTCTCAAACACAAATGATAATTCTTTTAGATTTAGTGAAGCAATTATATAGTAGAAAAAATCAGCAGCTGGAGCAAACCCAAAATTATGATAATATAACTGCAGGTGGACAATTTATTTATAAAATTTACTAGATAACTACTTACGATCTAACTCTATGGCAGGCTGCTCTGCTACTTTGTACGCTTTTTCTTCATCAGAAGCATTATCATATTCCCTCCTATCTCTTCCACCGCGGTCTCTGTCTCGTGGATCTCTATTACGGTCTCGTGATCTGAATGTACAAAACAGACGTGTCAAAACCAGGAACAGAAGAGAAAATGGTTACAGTGGAAAAACCTAAAAGTCATTTTGTTACTCCAAGAACAAAACAAAATGCACATTGTTATGATTTTCAATCAAAACTCACAGAAACCATTTCCACTAACAATACCTGATTCTAAAGTTCTTTGCTTAAATTTAACAAATACAGTGTGTTTTAGGTTATTTAAAATTTGCCAAACCTTGATCTTCTTCTGGGTGAGATTGACCTGCGTCTTCGTGGAGATCTGGACCTGGAACGTTTACGATAATCTGGAGAGAAACAGAAAAAAAAAACTATTGTTATATTCCATATTTTGTGGTCAAAAATAGACTAATGCCAGATGTGAGTTTCAGCGTTTTTTCTTAAATATAAGTTAACCTTAGTATAAACTCTGTACTTATTACATTTTAGCACAAAGTCTTAAGCATGTGCGTGTATGGGAGTGAGAGGTTTAGTTAATTATCCTAGTTATTATTTAGTGTATTTTTGGTATAATCTGGAAATAAATTAAAAAAAAAAAAAAAGTCTTAAGCATTAGCACTTCTATTAACAGTTCCATGTACTACATATATATATATATATATATATATATATATATATATATATATATATATATATATATATATATACTTTAACAAAAGGAAACAGGTGCTCATAACTGTAAAATAACGACCAGTTAGCAACTCAGCTGTGATTCAGCTGTTTGTCAGGGGCTCTCAAATATTTTGCTTACCTCTCACCTCCTGAAAGCGCTCATTTCTGTATCAGTTACGCTGCTGTGAAATTATAGGCCTACATCTGTTAAAAACTGCTGTTACAGACTTCTGAACAGAAGAAGATCTGGGACTGTTTCCCGCTCAGAAAAGCAAACTCCCGAACAATCATGCTGGCCAAGGCCGTTGTCAAAAAACAAAGAACAAGTTGGCTTTTCAACAGTGTGAGTTGAAGAGGTGAGAGGTAAGCAAAAGACTGGAGAGCCCTGCTTTGTGGTTAACACTGCTAGCTGATCATCAATTTACAGTAGCGTACACCTTTATTTTTTATGCATAAGCACAAAAGCACATATTATCTGAAATCGTGAATGCTAATGCTTGAAACTTCCCAGACCACAGATCTGATTTAAAAACAAGGTGCTACATGTATGAGGATAAAACTTGGGCTTGAGCCATAAATAGAAAATTGGTCCTTTCTGGGTTGACTGAGAAATAAGATTAAAACTGCTGTTCATTGATCAATAAACATATCTAATGGAAAAAAAAAATGAAATGCCACATAACTGACCTCTTTCTTTTCTGTATCTATCTCTATCTCTGTCCCTGGACCTAGATCTTGAACGTCTTCTTTCTGGTATGAAAGAAAAGCAAATAAAAGCAATTTTATTAACTAATACCAATTAACATCAATTCTGTAGCTGAAAGTATTTATTGAGAATGGCATGATATAATAAATGAATGACCCTTTGCATAAACCATGTACTAGTAATAATTTATTCATGTTCTTCAATTGGTGTCTGTTACTGCAAGTAATTCTCCATTCATTTAATGGTTACCTAAATACAGTAAAGCATAAAAACAGCAGCAGGACTAAATTTTACAGAATGAAATTAAATAAAAAGAGTGAGTGGGTAAAGATGTTATATCTGGTATGGGTACGTTAGAAGTACCTCCCCCTCCCTCCACCAAGTATAATCATTCCTTTCCATTATTTTTCAATGTATCCGCTATTCAAATATTATGACGATTTCAAAAAACTTTCAAGTTATGAGACTTGTCAGATCACAGCAAATTTTCACCTTGCAACGAAATCAGCTCTCTTCAGACCTCCCGTCATATTAGAACATGTTAGTGAGAACAGTCTTGAGGTGATCCAAGTTTCTTGTTAAAACATCTAAGAACGGGTAAGTAAATTACCAAACTAATTTATTTGAATAGCAGAGACACTGCTTAAAGTCACTTCAAAACTTAATTTGGAAAAACATTGAAAATCAATAAATTAAATTTTAGATTATGTGGGAGTACTGTTAATTACCCGTGTGACAGGAATGGTAGTCCGTAGAATGAAGTCCGGGGTCCTATAGGCTATATGATTGGTACAGGTAAGGGTTAGTTGGGGTATTGGGGTTAGAATATGGATTATATAAAAAGAAAATGTTACTTGTACGATGTAATGGGAAACGGACTACGGTTCCTTGCGCACTTCCATTCCTGCCACACCGGCATCGTTGGCTTTAGAAATTAGAAATGGCCGATAAAATTCGGACAAAGAGTGAAGCTGTTTGTGGACTTGAAATAAAACCAGTGGTTACAGGATGAATTGCTACTTTATGTAGGTATAATGCCTATACAAACATGTTTTTTATTTCAAGTCCCAAAACAGAGTGATTATTTTACTAACCCCTTCTTGGAGATCGACTCCGACTCCGACTTCTTCCCATGTTGATTTTTGTGAATGCGGGATTTTCCGATAGGTGGCACTGAGGTGCACTGATTCAGCTTATCATTCAGCATGTGGTTAATGCATAGTAGTTCTATGGGATAATTTTATAAAGCTAGTGACTGATTTTTGGAGGCACCCTGAGGGAGGATGGTTATTTTCATTTCCACTTTTGTCTTAATATGGTTATAACAAAAAACAATTAACACTAGTAATTTTCATCACTTAAAAATGAATTATTAAAAATGAATTAATATTTTAAAATGCATGAATCCGACACGACCATATTAGGTGACAAACTTTTCAAAATTATCGAGAGGCCGGTTTTTAAGTTTGACAAAAATTTCAAAGTGAAAGAAAACTTATGTCGGCGGAGAATCGTCATCCAACAAAATTTTTAAGACCGACTAAATTTCCAAGTTATTACCGTAACATCTTAAAACGTACATAATGTATTAAAGAGAGAACTACCGGGTATTTACAAGCATTAATTTGTATTTTCACTTTTGGTCTATAGATCTGTAAGGTAGGAGTAAAAAGGGCGTATATACTATATGTGTAAATATTATTATTAATTAATTTTTTCTGAATAGGCCCTCTGNAAACATGTTTGAAATGCTTTTTAATTGAATAAAATCGGAATTATTCTGTATGGTTTAAGTAAAAGTATATATATATATATATATATATATATATATATATATATATATATATATATATATATATATATATATATCATAAAAACCATGTAGCTCAGATTTGTTTGAATACTTGAACACACACAAGCTCCCGCACGGAAACACACACACACACACACACACACACAAATGAAGCGACTCTGCTTTCCTATTACAAAAATAATATCAACATTAATGAGAATGTCTGTTTCATCCCCTCACCTGTGCAGGTGACCTCGTGACAAGGTGCGTGTTCGATCAAGGGACCCATGCAGTAGCGGTCTTTGCCCGGTGTACCACGGTTAGCGCAACTGCGATGTCGTGTTTTGATACCTGCGCCACAGGTGTCGTGTGTTGAACATGGGCTCCATGTCGACCACGAGTCCCATTCTAAACAAACAGATAAATGCATTTTAACTAATTAATAATATATTATTATTGACATTCAGCCAGATCCTGACCATCTTTACAAAATGCACATTTAAGAACTGAAAATCAAATTGCGGACCTAAAATTTAAAAAGGAAGCTTTGCTCTGGCAAAGAATGGTCTACAATTTTTTTAATGTAATAAAACATTTATCAATTTTTGCTTTCGGTCAAATTGACGTAAGTCAAACTTGAGCCGCATTAGTTACTTATTTTCATTATACATAGGAAAACTGATCCTTCCTTTAAAATTGCTCCAAAGTGGCGATATATTGTCTAAACAGTGTACGAAGTACATGAGGCAAGTAAGAAGGAGGCGAATAAAAAAAAGGAAAACATCGACTACAAGTAAACCAAAACCTTATCAATGAATCAATCAATCTCAAGAGTAACGAATTCTATAGCAAAACCACCAGAGTAAGCGGCCTGTACCACCCTACTCCACTTCCATTTCGTCACATTCAATTCCCAAAATCCCAAGTGTAAAATTAATAAAAGGGAGGCGCTTGCTTCAAACTAGTGTCACGCTTATATAAATTCCCAGTGGTTTAAGTTAGGCAGACTCATCTTTGCTGGAAGCAGGGCGTAACTCCAAAAGGGGTTGCAGGCGGAGAGCATAGGCTATCAAAACAACGTACAGTCAAACGTCAACTATGTGATTTTGGTAGGCTAAGTATTTGCTCGTTGGGCTTTCTTCTTACACTAAAAACAAAAAGTAAACAGCCTTTGGGGTTATTTATGAAACGAAATTAAGTTTAAAAAAATTGAATATTTGTGAAACAGACCAATGTTTTTTGTGAAACAGACCAATGCTTAATCAAGCAATTAAATCATTAACTCCGTCTTTCTTATTGTAGGAATCCATCCGGGCTGTTGTAAAACCGAATTTAGAGACTAATCTTACCGGGACATGGAAGGAGTGTGCACGTTTCACTTTCGACTTCTGCTCCATAACAATCTAGGGGACTTCTATCCTCTAAGGTCGCCTTGTTGACGCAGCTGCGCCTGCGCTGTTTCCATCCTGTGCCGCAGGTGACAGAGCAGCTTTCCCAGGCCTGCCACTCCGACCAGTCGATGTCATCCGCTGGAAAACATTGAAATACTCGAAGATGGTAAAAACGGTAATATGGAACATTCAAGTAGTCCTGTTTTCCCATTTAGAGTAACTGTTGTGTTTGTGTCTGAATTCCCTTTGTTCAACAAATAAAGGATATATTATAAAACAAACGCATGTCGATAGAACACAAGAAGACATGAAAATAAAGCACTTGAAATTACAACACATGTAAAACACATGCCCCATACTTAAAATCAAGACAACAAAATTAAAAAATGAATTAATCTATCATCCTCGTTATTAAAATTTTACTTATCATTTGACGTAAATCAGTTTGAACAATTGATTTAGAATTCCATCAGTCTTGTAACAGCTTTTTGGCAATTAATTCATAGTTTTCGGCAACTTCAAAGGTCTTCTTTGACGAAGGTAATTGAAAAACACCCCAAGAAAAGATTATCTTTTCATAAATAACTTATCACATTTTAAACGGATCTCTGGCCTACCATTGGTATCACAATTAATCCCGGTCCAACCTTCAGGGCAGATACATATGTATGATGGTAGACCCTGCTGTGTCTTGATGTCCAGACAGTAGCCGTTGTTTTGGCAGGGGTACGTCATGCACAGCCCCAAAGCATCCTGGAAAGACATAACTAATGTTATGTAAAATCATAAATGGAATAACATTACATCAGATGAAAACTAGATGATATAGAAATATTGAAGATATCTTCAAATTCGGACACTGAAAAATCTATAAATTCACCAAAAGGGATTTTCAACCACTAAGATTTTCAGATACATGTAGCTTAGGCCAATGTGCTTATACACTGGGTAAAATGATAGAATATCCCAACAGAATACATGTATCTATTACATGTATATGTAGGTAATTTCAATAAGGTCAAACTACCCTCATTAGAGATTTTTATTCACTATATTTTTCGGATATCTTAGACCCTTAGTTTTCATTTTCTGCTTGTTCGCAATAAAGCTGGTGGTCTTTGTGATTGATATAGTCATTGTCAGGGGTTAAATTGAATTTTCTGAGAAAAGCAAATTGACACATATATCGAAGGTATAAACTCATATGTTAACGATATAACCCGTGAAGGGCACAATCTACCCACAGAATTTTTCTATGGGCCCATTCAGAATAGATGATCCGAGTACTAACTGATCCGCCGACTAAATATGGCCGACCGCACATCGAAAGAGAGGCCGCTGATTCCTAATGGTCTCCCCGCCTCCACACGCGCCATTAAACGGATTAAATCTTGGCTCCGAGGTTTTATTGCCCGCAGGGACAGAGCGTGTGGAGGCAGGGGAGACAATCGAGAATCATTGGCATCTCTTTTGAAGTGTGGTCCGCCATATTTAATTGGCGGATCAGTTAGTACTCGGATCATCTATTCTGAATAGGGCCTATGATAAACGGTAACTGATTTCACCGTGTCGTTAATGAAAAGGAAGGAAAAGGCTTCACAAAGCAATTACTTTGTTTGATTGAACGTAACGATGTTTGGATATAACTTTCGGAAAACAATAACAAAAATTACGCAAATGTCTTGTACAGGTACCACGCAGTACCAATTGCCATAACCGTTATTATAATTATAAGATTATGATCTAACAACCGTGCATTAAACAGGTATTCCATTATATAATAAAACATTTATCAGTTTTTGCTTTCGGTCAAATTGATGTTTTTCAGACCTCAGCCAAAGTCTTTAATTGCATAATATCGACCCTTCGGTTGTCCAATAAAAAAAGGTAACTTGCAATTATCTCAAGAAGCAGAATAGTTTAGGATTATATTTTCGAAGATACGATCCATCCTGGTCTGACCCGACACATCAATGTGCCAACAGACAGATGATCATCACAGAAAATACACCAACAAAAATAATGAAATTTTGATAATTCGGAACATTTTGATGTAAGAAATGCACGATTGACCTAGGTCATGCTCTCTATATGCATATATAGGATGAATTAAAACGCACCAAAATTTAGTTTACAATATCCCAAATATTTTTCACTGTAAATGAATTATTTTTCATTTTATACTGCTTCATTGTATTGGTTCAAGTCCATAAAAGATTTGACTCAGAGCTAAAAAATGTGGGAGGCTACAAAACGTTAATGGCGGTATTGCGTTTTTTTGAAAGGTGGACTAGAGTTGTCACAAATGCTATTGAGTCAATTTGCGCGGAGATTACCAAAGCATTTGCATCAAAATCTTTACAAATGTGTCAGAGACAATGCAATGAAATGAAATTACGTAGTATTTAGTGTAATTCCATTGCATTTCAGTGGATAATTCAAATTTGAAGTATGGAATGTTTTTGTTATCTACCGGCTATAAATGATTCAAAATCCAATACGTTTTACCACCACGCACAAATTACATTCTTATTTATAATTGATGAGGCCGAGTAGTATTCCCCACCTCCCTTACGTGCAATTATTGTCAGCACGCACATTTTAATACCAATCAATATGACAATCATCATGCTACGAGGAAATAAAGTTGTAGTGCCAAGATTACTTTTAATATTTGGACATTGAATACCATCACGCAAAGCCATAGCTCCTGGCACTTATAAAGACAAATAGGTTGTCTTTTTTTCATAAATGGGCCATTTAAACTTTGAGTAGTGGAATGAAGCTTTAGGCAAAAAGGTCATGCTTTGTAAGGATCTTGAGAGCACAAACGGCCTGTAGTTGTACTAACAAGTTAAGGATGTAGATAACAGGGGTAGCTATCTTCTAAACCGGCCAAGATATACCAACATGTTACGTATCAATAGAATGCTTATTTCAACAGCTCTTCATTTCATATCCTTATTTTATTATGTAATCGTTACGTAATGAGATATAATGCT